GGGGGCAAGGGGGGGTCTGGCTGGGGGGAGATGGGGTCACTGGGGAGAGCAGGCCGAGGAGGGTGAGGGGGGGTCTGGCTGGGGGGAATTGGGGTCACAGGAGTGCAAGGGGGGGTCTGGCTGGGGGGAGGAGTGGGAGTGAGGCTGGGGGCGGGGTGACTCAGGGCCCCGCAGCCTCTCACCCCCCCCCCCCATGTCTGTCTCTAGGGCAGGAGCAGGCCCCAGGAGGGGGCACAGTCCGGCGCAGACTCAGGACCCCCAGCGACCCCTGGGACTCTCTGAACTCCGCCCTCGGACGACCCTGCGACTCCCAGACCTCGGAGGCCTGCAGCGCCCCCAGCCTGCCCCCCGCCAATCTCCAGCCCCCTCCTCACCCCATGAGCCTGCCGAGGCCCCCCCCGCCGCCCCCCAGCCCCCCTGTGCACACGGCCCCCCTGGGGCTCTCCCGGATCCCCGGCGCCCCCTACGCGGTGGAGGTGCTGCAGGAGGGCTACAGCCGGGCGCTGCCGGACGGCTCCACCCGGGCCGATGGCTCCGTCACGCTGCTGCGGGGGCCCCGGCTCACCCTGGTGGACACGGGGGGGCCCTGGGGGCGGGAGCGGCTGCTGGGGCTGCTGGCGGCCCAGGGGGTGGCCCCAGGGGACATCTCCCACGTGGTCTGTACCCACGGCCACTCCGACCACGCCGGCAACCTCAACCTCTTCCCCGGGGCCACCCTGCTGGTGGGCTTCGACCTCAGCCAGGGGGAGGGGCTCTACCTGCCCCACGGCCTGGGGGGCGGCGCCCCCTACCCCATCGACCCGGGCCACGTGGAGGTGCTGCCCACGCCGGGCCACACGGCCGCCCACACCAGCGTGCTGGTGCGGGGCACGGCGCTGGGCACGGTGCTGGTGGCCGGGGACCTGTTCGAGCGGGAGGGGGACGAGGGCGCCTGGCAGGCGCTGAGCGAGGACCCGGCCCGGCAGGAGCGGAGCCGCCGGCAGGCGCTGGCCCTGGCCGACGTGGTGATCCCCGGCCATGGGCCCCCCTTCCGCGTGCTGCGGGCGGGGGGCCCCACGGCCCCCTGCAACCCACTGAGCCCCGATTAAACAGAGCTCGGCCACCCCCAGCGCTGCCTCTTATTGGGGGGTCATTCTGCAGGTCGGCCTGCCCCACCTACTCCACGGGGACGACACCCCGAGGGGAAGGGGGGGAGACAGAGCCAGGCGCTCCCAGACCCAGCCACAGCCCCCGCCCCCGATCTGCGGGGGAGGCCCAGGAGCACCCCTGGGTGCTGAGAAGCAGCACGTGCTCAGAGGGCAGCCATAGGACCGTGTCCATGGGCCCACCCCACGCGCAGGCCAGGCCCCTGTATGGTTTAATGGCCCTGTTTGTGTCACAGATACAGCCAGAGATAAGGGGGACAAAACCCCATTACTGACAGCCGCCCTGCCCCACAGGTGGCCGCATCTCAGTGCCGGGCGAGGGGTCCCTGTGTAACCAGCCGCCCCACCCCAGAGGTGGGCACATCCCAGCTCCAGGCAAGGGGTCCCTGGGTAACCGGCCGCACTGCCCCAGAGGTGGCAGCATTTAGCACCGGGCAAGGGGTCTCTGTGTCACCGGCCGCCCCGCCCCAGAGGTGGGCGCATCTCTGCAACGGGTGAGGGGTCCCCGGGTAACCGGCCGCCCCGCCCCAGAACTGGCCGCTGTTTGAGCCTGGCCTCGGGGGTTCCCAGGCAGTGGCGCTGCCCGGGGTGCATGTGTCACTCCTGATAGCACTGATCGATGCCCAGAGCTATTAATGACCCTCGTGACGGTTTATGGCTCAAGGACACGGGCAGCTGGCACCGCCTGGCACCACCCACGCCACCAGCGTGACAGATCCCAGCCCCACTGCACAGAGCGGGGGGGATGTCAGGAAGTGTGGGGGAGTCAGGGCCCTGCACCCCCAATTCTTGCAATTCAAGCAGCCAGTAACACAGAAGGTTTATTAGACGACAGGAACATGGTCCCAAGCAGGACTTGTAGGTACAGAGACTGAACCCCTCAGCCTGATCCATCTTGGGGTGTGGGGAGCCCAGGCCCCAGTGCTGGGCCTCCCCCCGTTTTCCCAGCCAGCTCCAAACTGACCCCCCCCCCGCAGCATCTCACCCCCTCCCCTGGCCCCTCCTCTGGCCTTTGTCCAGTTTCCAGGCAAAGGGGTCACCTGGCCCCACCCCCACCTTCTGGCTCAGGTGTCGCCCCTCAAGTGACATCAACCCCTGATGTCCCATCCCCAGCTCAATCCGCCCCGCTCCGTCACAGGGGCTGGGAGCCAGGACTCCTAGGTTCTCTCCCTGGCTCTGGGAGGGGAGCAGGGTCTGGTGGGTGAGAGCGGGGGGGGCTGGGAGCCAGGACGCCTGGGTTCTCTCCCCGGCGCTGGGAGCGGAGGGGGGCTAGTGGGTCAGAGCAGGCGGGCTGGGAGCCAGGACTCCTGGGTTCTCTCCCCGGCTCTGGGAGGGGAGTGGGGGGGAAGCCAGGACTCCTGGGTTCTCTCTCTCCATGAGCCGGTGGCCTTGGCAGCCAGGGGTGGGGTGATGCGATAGCAGGAACGTGGCTGCCTGCCAAGGCCGCAGCCCCATGACGTCTCCTTCGCCCTGTGGTGTCACCGGGCGCTCTGCCCCCTTGCCCCAACCGAGAGCTGGGGCAGGGAGTTCCCGGGGCCAGCCAGTGGGGGGAGGGGACACAAGCCACCCATGATGCTGGAGTCCCAGCATCCCCACTCCTGAGACCCTACAATAGCAACCCCCCCCACCCCGAGGGACCCTACGCTGCCCAGTCTGCCCCGCCCAGCCATCTTACCGCAATGAGACCCTACAATAACACCCCCCTCTCCCCGAGGGACCCTA